ATACGTTGAACTTTGAGCTTTTGCAACTAAATTGATTACTTACAACTAAATTTGACGACCTCCGTGGCCGAGTGGTCTGTACGCCGGGTTTCATGGTATCGCCGACTCGAGAGGTCCTGGGTTCGAATCCCGGTGGGGGCAGATGTTTGTGTGATGAATACGAGCATTTGTACTCCAGTCATGGATGTTTATTATATATTTTCTATATAAATATACTTATATTTGTACTGTATATGTATTCTATCCGTTACCCTAGTATCCCATAACACAAGCTTTACAGTGCTTACTTTGGGGCTAGGCTAATTGGTTGTGAGTGTTGGAAATATTTGAATTATTTGAAATAAAACGATTTTTACGGGTTAGATGCACTGAATTTGTTTATCTGACGTTTCGCTTTCGTTATTTTATTACAAAAAAATCTATACTCAGATGAAGTCTTCTGGAATCTAATTGTTTATATTGTCATTTTTGTTTTAATTTACTGCATAGATTTTATCCAGTATCGACGAAATTTTTGCCACGGGACCAACGTTCGACGCATCACCGCGGTCGTCGATTCTAGTCATTGCACTCGTATTTTTTATTATTTAATTTTTCCTTTTTTATATTTGTTTTAGACCCCAGCAACTGTTCTTATTTTTATTTGTCTCCCTTTTATTTAGACTTCATAATTATAGTTTAAAGTTTTGGACTAAAGATGGTAAACTGTGAAACTTGTGGAAGTTTTTTGGCGCCGGGCAATGCTGTTATTTGCTGTGCTTGCCCAATACAATATCATAAGGCCTGCCTCGCCATCTATTAATATCAAAGAAAAAACTTGAATTGATATCAAAGAAAAAAAAATACTGCATAAATAAAATAAATAAATAATTATAATTGCATAAGTTGATAAATAATGCTATGCAATAGCTTTACCACGGCAGTCCCCGAGTGTCACACTTTTTTTTCTTATATATATTTATGTAAGTATATTATACCTTTAAAGTACATATGAAGTTCATATCAATGTCCTTACATATTAAAACTATTGGTGCCGTAACGTAGTCACGGTTGACTACGATTTCAAAGATAACGCTACGAATACGAAATTTCTGCTACGACTGAGCTTTGTGTTGTTAAAATATTTGTCTATTCTGCAATAATTCAGGAGCTGACTTCCCCCGATGGCGAAAATTCCACTACCTCGCTTTAAAATTATCATTGATTAAGAAGAAACCTCTGCTTTACAGAATATCACTTTGAAAAGAACACAAATTTTTGTGTGCTTTGAGTGGTGTGATTTTGTCGATGTGTAAGGGTTCTGAAACTCCACGAGGTAGGGGACGGGGTTAGGGTAGGTAACGTATTGGTGTTATTCTGCGATCCAAACTTAATGGCGGCTGTGAAGTTAGCAGCGAGCGTAACTACCTATGCACAGTTTTTAATTAACTGATATCCCACGTGCACCATGCGTGCACCTATATTTCGTTTACTGCGCAGCGTTCCTTGGGCAAACTTCAGTACCCTTAGCACGAACTAATATTGAATTCGAATAGCGAATTGTCATTGTCAAATGTGTACTGAATTTTAGTTTTCGTTACGTCCGTTGTGGCGCTGATGTTCAAGTTTCCACACAAAATTTGACATTGACATTAAGCACTCGCAAACTATTCCAATTCGATAATGGTTTACCTACAGTACCCTTAGCACGAACCATTATCGAATTCGAATAGTTTGCGAGTACGAAATGTCATATTGAAGCCATTTACCACCATAAAGAGGCGAGGCGTTAACATGCTTGGCACCACTTTTTACTATAAGAATATAGTATTACATTGACAGGTGATCGAACATGTTTAAAGAATAGACACAGCACACCTCGTTAGGTTCAAAAAAAGTAATTCTATCAAATTTAAAAGAAAAGCTAGTAAGCTGGGTACTTCGTTACGGGGCTAGTTCATGGAAATTATGTCAAAAATATCTAACTTATTGTAAAAATTGCTTCAAAATGTTATGGCTTAAGAGGAATTAGGTTATAAACAGGAAAATGCGGAAAGCTGCTTTATTTATACTGTCGATAGCAATGCAAAGTGTTTTCGTACTTTTTACTTCAACTCAAGCCCTTGACTTTAAAATATTATGATTTTAATAAACTTTTTGATGTTGAAATTTCATATTCAAATAACGGTGACAAATATTTTTGTCTATGTTTACCTTGAAGTATCTAAATAAATCAGAAGAGACAGAAATTAGAGTAAACCTGATGGGGCAACATCAAAGCTATACGGTAGATACATTTCGCGGCGGAATACGCGGCCCGCAACGCCCCGGCATAATGTGCGATAGTTTTTATAAATACATACGCGGGATTTGAGCGGATTTTTGACACTTCCAAGCTAGACTTAGTATTTGCTGAATGCTTAAAGATATGTGTTTGGTCTAGTGTAATCATAGAAGAATATAACAGCCTTTCTGTTTATCAATTCAGGCCTTTATTTATCAATTTCTTCTTCTAGTATCACTAATGCCGTTGGTAGTAGAGATCTGAATCAATACTTTTACTCGGTGGTGAAAGCGTGACAGGTACCTTTTTTAGATTACACCATACATACAGCATCACTTAATCGACTTCACTTCTTACGAGATCAGTTAATAGTAATTAAAGTAATTAAAATTACTTTAATTATTCCTTTTAAAAAGTGTCTCCACGTTAACTCAGTTATTGTGCAATTATGAAACCTTAACAATTTTAATTGTCATAAATTTAAATAAATCTCCTTTTACCGATATAAATCAATATTTTTGTATGGGGTTTTAGTACGATTACTGTTCTCACTATTTTTATTTATACGATTTTTAAATTTATCATGTTACTTAAAATTCACGGTATATAAGGTCAATCAAAGCTCTTTCGCTACGTCGTAATTACTAATATGTCGATTTTGCTCCACTTTTTCAAAAATGGCTTTGACTATACTCGTAAAAGGGCTACCAAATTGAGGTGCATTTTTACCACCTGAATTTCCGGACTGAAAACGTTTGAACCCAACTTTGTGCGACTTTTACAGAGACTATATTAAATCCGTGAACGCCATCAAATGATTACGGCCTGTGTCGCATTGTTCCGTGCAAGTAATAAAATTTCAAAATGTATAAAATTTCCTAGTTAGATCAATTCTCTTTGGCGACACAGAAAGATATAAACGTACACGCGGTTTTGATAACATCACCTTTTTACGGCATCTACCCACATAAAATAAACAGTATAACTATAAATAAAATTATAAATAGTATAATGTACAAAACTCGCGGAGACTTTTTCCCTAACCTCCTATAGAAACATACGCATTCATAGCCTGATTTTGTAGCTGGAATACAAGAAAAAGCCTACCTCAAACTGTCGAGCGGGTCACCACGGTCCGAGGCCGGCCAATATTAAAGAGGAAGGTACCAATTTTTGACAGGTTACCCTTTAATTTAAATTATTAATTTTTTTCCGCTTCCTTATCCAAACCAAATTACAGTCCCTACGCCTTCCGCCTGTCAGTATGTGAGAAAATATAAAAATAGCGAAAAGAGAGCGCCCCAATTTTTAAATCCCATAATTTTCTAATATCTTTGTTATGGTTATAATATCAAAGAGAAAATGCCTAAATAGAATATAATTATATATTGTCTTTGTTTGTCCACATTATTTTATATTTAAGTTTTTGAATTAATTTTATTCACCTTACGTAAATTACAATACCTGTTTAAACTTGTTGTTTGAATGTAGGATATTATAAGCGTTAACAATTTGTTTAATGTTAAAACGGCATAATATTACTTCTCAGTTCTTGGTAATATTGTCAATTTCCAAAAAAACGCTCGTTATAATTAACATTTCATTTATAATTCCATCCGGGATTTTCTGCCTATTTAAATAAAACACAGCTATAAAAAGATCTAGCCATTGTCACCTATGTTAATATCAGAGTATCCAGGCAAGCTTTTATCGATATTAAAGTATGAATATAATCCTATGTTCGTTCGGACCGAAATGTTTATTTATTAACTACCCACTAGCATTAGCCTACGGCTTCATCTACGTTATTGTTAGTTAATTAAATCTAATAATTTTTTGATTTGTTCTCATGAACCTAAAATTTTCCGAAATAAAAGATATAACTTCACAAGGTCCAGAAACAATACTAGGATTATAATAACCCATTGTATCGCATTCTACCTTTTTTCCATACTCGAGCAAAATACCTATGTAAGTAATAATTAGGGATTTTTAAAAATAATATACAGTTATATTATGTTACAGCAACACCTTAAAAAGTTTAGGGCCTTAATATTTAACAAAAATGCCCTCAGATATACTTTTTTACAAATTGAAACCACACTCCACTAACACGTCTTGGCTAATTTCCATTATAATATAAAATTTCAATATTATTCCATCCAGTTTTTATCATGAACTGAGACATGTGAAGATATGAGAAAACTTTCGCACCAGCCAGCGTAATCCATAAAGTTTGGTTTGTAAAATAGCAAAGCAAAATAGTTTTCTGCTCAAATGCTTTTAATAAATTTATCTAAATGGAATGCATGAAATACTGATTTGTCTAAGTGAAATATCATGAAGTTTGGTTTTCTAAAGTGAAACTTGCAAGGATTATGGCTGATGACTTGAAAATTAAATATCATTTAGGCTTTACATATATAATTTTAATTCGTGTTTTTTTAGTATAAGTAAATTTTATTAATCCGCATGAAATGCATGGACGGAGCTTCCCCGTAGGACGTCCACCAAGTCTTAACTTGGTATTGAGTAGGGCGCACCCCGAGCAACGTTCAGCTGAAATTTTTGAACGGCTAATACTTTCCAATACGATGATTCCACCACCAACAAAAGATCGCCAACGGCTATTATTAGAGTCAGCCTTGATCGTTATCTCTATTAACATAGAGGATTTCTCTCAAGACAAAGCGCTTCTTTTTTCGGAAATGTACCGCGAGACGATAGGACATATCTTATGCGTCCAGAAAAACCCATCGTGACGCAGGCCTCAGATTACGGACTTATACTGACAACAGAAATACCACACCTAAAACACGGCAGTGCCATCTTTGCTATACCGGAGTACATAAGTGTTTTATCTTCTTCTTCCATCTATCGGGGTGGTATGGAGATCGCTACCGTGGACGTCGTCACTTGTACAGACACATCAGTCTACAAACCACCTATGCAACCATTCCTGTCATGGGATGCCCTCGACTCTAACGATGAGCGCGCCAGATTAGTGGTCGGTGAGTTCAATAGTCATCGTAGGTTGTGGGGCTACAGAGAAACAAACAACGATGACGACGTAGCAGAGGCATGGGCGGAGGCTTGCGGACTTACTCTGCTGCATAGTTCCTAGCTGCAGCCTTCCTTCAACTGTGGACGCTGGCGTAGTGTCTACAACCCTGACCTCATTTTTTCAGCGAGGGCATAAGCTCTCAGTGCAAAAATCGATCTGCAGGCCGATTCCCACAACACAATACAGGTCTATAATGTGCCGAGTGGTGGCTGTGGTCTAGCCAGTCAAGGTTCATTGCCGGCGACATTTTAAGTTTGGGAAAGTCAACTGGGATAGAACCGCACTGAGATAGATGAAAACCTGCTCTCACTAACAGCTGTACCATCACACTACGATGAATTCATTAATATCGTCCGAACCGTGTCATGTCAATCAATACCTCGTGGCTGTCGCACATATTACATCCCATGTCTAAATACAGCGACGGCAACTGTATTACAAGCCTATGAAAGAGAGTTCGCGAATGACTCCTTCTCTGCAGAAACCATACAATCAACGGAGAAGATACTCTGGGCGGCCCTAGTAAATTTCAGCCAATATTATAAAGAAAACTGCCATCGACCAAACCCAAGATAAACGCAGAGCTGTGTGTTTCATTCACACAATAAGCAAGCTGGGGTGCTGCAGTGGTACCTTACGTACCACTTGTAGTGGTACCTTACGTACCACTGCACTAGCGCGATGAAATGCGAAGTTAAGAAAAGGACCCGCGCCATCCATTCTACGACCACCACCTACCGCCGGCTCGTCTTAAAAGTCGTAAAAGCTTCCTGCCTACCCTACCCTACCTTTGTTAGGCGAGCCCTCTGGACAGCGTCGTTTGTTGTGGCTGTGCCGGTGTCCGCCGCCAGAAACACACTGCCCCCGGCCACCAAGAACCATGGCCTACATGGAAGGTGCTAAACAGTCTCAGGTTGGACGCTGCAGATATAATATGGTAAGATGGGGACTGCTTCGCGACAACACAGATCAATGCGTGTGCATGACCGCACCACAAACTATGGCTCACCTGCTTGCATGCCCCGCATGCGCGTTTTCTTGTTCCGAGCGTGATTTGAGGGACGCGGAGGCCAGATCTATTGATATCGCTTACTGGGCAGCACCTTTATAAGTGGAACTTCGACACGAAAAGAAGAAGGTTAATCTGCATAAGTATGTATGGATGGACCAAACACTGCAAACCGACAAATCAACTAAACGTATGATAAATAATATTATTTTATACCTACATCATGGAGCACCCCCACTAGAGTCCGCATCACACAAATTTTGTTTGGAATCAAAATCGCCAAAGTCGGTGGGGTGCAGGGAGGTCAGCCCCGCTGTGATTGGACGCGTCAAGGTCAGATCATATACTCAGTGCAGCGAAGTGATGAGGGTAAGATCGATTTTAGAAAATATCGATATTTTCTATCGATAAACAATTTAGAATAGAGGCCTAGTACTTTGGTGCGCGAGTGTAAGCAAATGCGTAATCATACCCTCTCCACTTTCTTCCAGCGTTCTAATTACATGACGCGACTAGTAACTACATACTAAATTATATATAAGCAACACAAAAAAAAAAACACGCCTAGGACAAGAAGTATTAATGCAACGATATTAACTACCCTAGATACAACATCACGAACAAAATCGTGGCCGAAACGTGTCCAAAAGGTACATTGGACGATCCACGGAGGTCCGTAAGATGATCGCGTGGTCAAAAACAATATAATGCCTTTTTTAAACATTGAAAGTCACCTTTAATGCATACGGCATTAAGGTCTTAATTAAAATGCATGCGTCAAGTTCGTAAAATTTTACGATTTATTGTTATGTGTGAAAGAATATAGACCTTATTTTTTTTGATTTTTCGCGCGCAATTCTGGATGCGCTGTTAGCAATATAGCAGGTACAGATCGCGAAGAAAAGAGATGGCTAAGGGCGACGTATAACCGACCATGCATTTGAATATCACAAATATTTTATATTAAATCAGTTTATAGTAAGTATTACAACAATAAAATTTGCTTTAAAGGCGTTAATTAAAAAACATTAATTAGCTACCCGTCGCAAAAACTACACTTTACGCACTATTAGTATTTTTCTGTATTTTTTCACGGAACTCTTTGGCATCTTGACTTTTCAACGGTCCGCGATTGAGTGGAGTTCAAGTACTTCTTGATGGGGACACATTTTGAGCGCTCGTGGTGTTTCTAGGGTATTTAATATCGTTAATTCTATGTCTTTATCTAGGTCATAAACTATGCGCACTTAATTTCATACAAATCCGTTTAACCGTTTTAGCGTGAAAGAGTAACAAATATGCATACAAATTTTCGCGTTTTCTCAATTTTATTAGGATATGTTTGAAGTCAAATAAAAACTGTTGGTTGTATACTCATGACATCTATTATTGTATACGATGAAATAAATAGTTTTTATTTATTTTTTCAATTTCCATAGCTGACAAACTTATCGATAAACTTACGCGTTGAGACATGAGCTGCGTCTGAGTCACTAGCAATACACGTGCCGGTGTGAGAGCGAGATAGCATATATGATGTAGCCCATGCGAGAAAGGGATAGTGTAAAAAGACATCAACGCGTTCACCAAAAAATAAATACAATTAACACCAATTTAATATAACAGTATTTTTGTCTTTTTGTAATGCATTTAAACTAACCAGTGAAAAGTAATACCATTTTTTTAAGACTGGAAGTTGTACTCGACTTTCCACACAATTTAATTGCACAGTACGGCATTTTTTACAGTTTTTTAACACGAAAACGCGAGAAGCAGTTCGACCAACGCTCGGTTACCGAATGAAACGATGTATCGCGACGTCTGTGGGCGTGCCTCACGCATAGGTAAAATACTACTTAAGCTTGGCGTAAGCGCTTGCCCTTGTATGCGGACTCTAGTGGGGGTGCTCCGTGACCTACATCGATTGCCGTGTATATGTCGTGGCCATATCGTAGATTTGCTCACTTCATGAAATGCTCGAGTATTTCATGAAATGGTCGCATTTCATGATATGGCCAACTTAATTTGACCAGATCATTAAATCGTCAACGTTTAACGATTTTGTCATCCACATTTGGCCGGATCGTATAATCAGGGTGACCATAAAATATTTAATAAAAATCCAGAATATGTTAAGAACTTGTTTATTGTCATTTGAGTCCGAATTACACAAACAAATTGAATAAAATTTTTGTAAGAAAATAAACAAATTTGTTTTTTTCTAAATTAAACATCAACTTGTCATGTAGTTACACAAATGTAAATTTCATTTACATTTAGAAAACTAACATATATTTAGAAATAAAAAGGTACTTTGGTATATATTACAATAGTAGGCTAAATTTTAAGCGGTAATACTTCACGCTAGATTAGGTTAGGTTAGTGTTGTGACCATAACGCGCGAGCCGAGCGAGCAAAGCGAGCGTGCCGCGGCAGCGGCCGGCGAAGCGCCAGAAAAAAAAACTATTAAAAGAAAGCTTTTCTACAAAAGAAATTCGAGTATCACCTTTTGGGCCCTGGAAGTACAGTTTTACAGTATATCTTTGTACGGCATTGATTCTCATCCGCACTTTGTACCTCAACCGCAGTTTCCAAAATGTCATATTTTGACAGCCAGTAGTAGTCCATAAATTACTTTTGCGTAGTCACCCTACTCTCCTTAAATTGTTTCGTCGAAAACCCTTTTGTTATCACTTCTTCCTCATTAAATAACGAATTATGCACTTTTTCACTGCGAGAAACAACATTTTCGGCAGCGGCCGCCATATACATATATAAACAAAGCGCTTGCAGCGCCTCTACCGGTAATAAATGTAACTACTTTACAATGGCCATGACTCGGAGGGACCGTGCGTTCCGAACCTTTAAGCGCAGCAGGTCGGAGGAAAACTGGCGTCTCTATAAATCTGCACGCAATAGATGCAATGGAATGGTAAGGGCAGCTAAGCGTCAATATTTTCATAATAACACTTCTAATTGTTCTTCAGCCAATATCTGGAAGTTTTTGCGTTCACTTGGGTTGGGTAAAAACTCTTCTCCATCTCAGTCCCTCCCTTTCTCTCTTGATGAGTTTAATAAACACTTCTCTGGTATTTCTTTCATGGAACCCGCTATCAAAACTAAAACTATCGATCTTATAACTTCCATGGCTCAATCTCACTCTGTATCCTTTTCCTTTTCTCCAATGTCAAACGATGAAATTAAGAAAATTATTGTGTCCATAAAATCGAAAGCCGTAGGATACGATCATGTGAGCAGGGATATGGTAATAAATATCCTTGACATTATCCTCCCAATTATTGGCCATATCGTCAATTATTCCTTTCTTACTGGTTGCTATCCACTTCCCTGGCGTAAAGCCTACGTTATTCCCATCCCTAAAACTTCCACCCCTACACAATTGAACAACTTTAGGCCGATTTCCATCCTCCCATTCCTCTCCAAAATCCTTGAAGCTGCTGCTCACTATCAAATATCATCTTTTGTACACTCTAGGCAGTTACTTACTCCCTTTCAGTCCGGCTTTCGACCTGGGCATAGTACATCGACAGCTCTACTTAAAGTAACCGAGGACATCCGGCTTGGCATGGAGAACCAGTTGGTCACCATTATTGTCCTAATTGACTTTTCCAATGCTTTCAATATGGTGGACCACGACCTTCTACTTGCGATTCTGAAAACTCTTAATTTTTCTTCTTTGACATTGGACTGGTTTTCATCTTACCTCTCTGGTCGCCAGCAGGCAGTGCGCAGTGAGCGTGAATTGTCAAGTTGGAATGACTTGACTGCTGGCGTTCCACAAGGGGGCATTCTTTCCCCTCTTCTTTTCTCTTTGTTCATTAATTTTCTTTCCTTCTCGCTCGGCTGCTTTTATCATTTCTATGCTGACGATTTGCAGATTTATGTACAGACGACTGCTGAGGAAATTTCTGATGGAATATCTCAGCTCAATAGGGAACTATGCAATGTAAGTTCTTGGTCTGCTGACTTTGGAATTGCCGTTAACCCTACCAAATGTCAAGCTATTGTAGTGGGTGGCTCCAAGCAGATCTCCAAGATTGATTTTGGTCTGCTCCCACCTGTTGTTTTTGAAGGTTCTAAAATTCCATTTAGCCTAAGCGTTAAAAATCTCGGCCTTCATATTGATACTACGCTAAGTTGGACGACGCAGATTGCCGAAGTCAGCCGAATCGTGTCTTTTTCGTTGCGTACCCTTAATCGTTACAGAAATTTTCTCCCCATTTAAACAAAGATCACTCTCGTTACGTCCCTTGTTCTACCTCTCATTGATTATGCCGATGTCTGTTATCCTGATTTAAATGCAGATCTTCTCAATAAATTGGACCGCCTTATGAATAATGCTATACGTTTCATCTTTTGCCTCCGCAAATTCGACCATGTTTCTTTATATCGATCCGAACTAAAATGGCTTCCTATTCGCCAGCGTAGGCAGTTAAGATTACTCTGCACTCTTTTTTCCATTATTTCCAACCCTCATTCTCCAGAGTACTTGAAATGCAAGTTTCAGTATCTCTGTGATAGTCACGATCGTCCTCTCCGCTCTGCTGATTCATTAGCTCTCTATATTCCTCTTTCTCATTCAGGCTATATGTCCAACTCCTTTACTATTCAAGCTATACGACTGTGGAATGACCTTCCCGACTCCATCAGAAGATCTCCTAGTAAACTTATATTTAAAAGGAATGTTCATGCTCATCTGTTGCAAAACTTAAGATGAAGTGTCATTTTATTAATCATCATCTTGTGCATATATATATATATATGTATACTGTATATATTTAAATATTAGTGTGTTTTGTTTGTATGTATAATATTATTTTTATAGTATGTATTTATATATGTATCTATGTTAATTTGTATATATATTCGTATTTAGCTTTATACCGCCGATCGTGTTTTTCATTTTTCCCAAAGGTTGACTGGGAGAGAATGCTTTTAGCATTAAGTCCGCCTTTTGCACCAATGTTATATATTTATATTTTGGTCAATAAAGTTTAAAAATAAATAAATAAAATAAATATGATCAAATAATAGGCTAGTTGACTCATGTCGAATTGTATTAAATAAATGTTTATTTCTTA